GGAAATTTCCTAGAGTTGCCGCCTACATCTCAAATGAGAAGAATGGTAGGTATTTTGTCTGACTCCACTTCGAAATTACATCGAGATAAGATAAATAATTTGAAGGTGTACCTCACTGCCTATAAATTTAGGCGTGGGACTGCGGCTTAGAAGAAATAGCTCACGAAGCTGCAACGAACTGCACACAGGATGAGCCAAATCTGACCAATAACGGGATTGATTATCGGTTGTGAGTGCGAGAAAAGGCTGCAAAATGTTAGACATGGCCTGTTGAAAGTATTCCACTCAACTATATTGTTGCAGCATCGATAATGGGTTGGCTAGAGCATTGAGACGAAGCAGTCCTCTTCAGACTGCAGTCTATATTTTTATATCTACCACTCCAATATTTTTAAATGGCAACATCTTCAACAATACTCGAGGAGCAGCTGGTCGAGATTTTTTCAACGTGAGTTTATTTTATGTCGGCCATCATAGTGTGTGAAGTAATATATTCTTAGTTTATTCGTGGAAACACAAGTGCTTTTGGATGCTCTGTTGCTACGAACTGCAGCAATGATGGTATTGCTTTTGCATGTGTATTCTCAGCACCGTGAGTGAGTAAAGAGTCAGATTGCTGTCGAAAAAATTCTTATATGATAGTAGTATAGAAACGTGCAAGAGGGAGAAGAAGCCTACACCCCTGGACAGCCGTGTCGTGATGGCCAGGAATGCTCTTCCGGAAATAGTAGTGGAGTCTGTGTGAACGGGCTCTGTGATGTCTCTATGAACATTAGTACAACAACCACAATTACAACGACATCACCATCAGCATCAACGACAACGCCATCAACGACAACGCCATCAACGACAACAACGACTACCACCACCACTACAACAACAACAACAACGACCAGACGGAGAAGCACTGATTGCCCAAGCAGGGCTTTCACGACCACTTTCAGAGAAGTAGCTCTAGGAATGCACAACAATTTCAGGTAATGTAGATATACACTCCAGATGAAGCAATATCTCCAATTAACAAGCTCACGCAAGGTTATCAAGTTAAAAGACGCTAACTTCAAATTACGATTCAAGTCGAAGTCAAAATCCAAGCAAAAGAGAGCCAGAAAAGTCTATATCTCTTCAAATTAGTGTTTTGGAAAGCGTTTACGACATTTGAATCAGCGCAAAGTTCAATAAAAGGAAAAAGATAAAATACTTTTTTGAAGAAATAGAAGCCCTCAATTTTAGATCCTTAGTTGCCACAGGGCGAGCAAGAAACGGTGAGTATGCAAACGAAAACGCACCACCGGCCTCACGGATGGATTTGATGGCAGGATTACGAACTTTTCGCTAGGCGTCTTCTTTTGTACAGTATTGCTTCAGATAATACCTTTTAGGAGTATGACTGCCAAGCAGAACAGCTGGCACTTTTCCATGCGGCATCATGCGACAGGCGAGAGCTTTCACCTTTTGCTCGACCAGGTTACAGTGAAAATATTCATATCCTCGAAACGACTGCAACTGATTTGTTAGGGGCCATTCAGAATGTGAGTTACGAAAGATCGAAATCACTATGGTATCGTAGACGGATTTTGTAGTAATAATCAAGAAGGTTGTATGGATCGCTATGTTTCGATTAACTGCAAAATCTTAGTGTTGAAAGTTGTGTCTGCAGTACTCACACAACTCATATAGGCGATTGCAAGCTTTATTTTTGAACTTCGTGGGAATGGTATTCCTTCGAACATGATTTTGACGCCTCAAGTATTCCAACGTACGCGAAGAACGGTTACGAGAGTTACCAAGGTATGCAACATCACCTGAATAACCTTAGCCACAGAGATATTTCACATCGAGGTACAAGCCTTTTGCAGGTTCTTTGGGGATCGAACAGATTCGTGGGTTGCGCCACCGTTCTATGTCGTGGATTTTACTTCACTTCTTGCATGTATCGCAATCCGTAAGGCTTTAACAATTATTTGCTTTCCCAAATTCTGAAAAATGATACGTCTTGCTTCAGAGTGAACGTGGTCGGACAAAGCATTTACACGATTGGTGCAGTTTGCAGCGCATGTCCAACTGGTCCTAACAACTGCAATTTAGCCATCGGATTGTGCTCTTATTAGAAAGCAATGATGTGATGAGCTTTGTTCATTAATAAAGTTCTTAAAATTGAAAAAACGAACGAGAACGAAAACGATGATGTAAACAGTTTTCTCCTATCAATACAGTTTCACAATGGAGAAATATCAACAATTCCCTCACTGTAATCTTTCTTTCCTTTCCACCCTCTCTACTTCTCTGTGAGGGTGCCGTAACCATGCTTGTGAAGATCGTAGCGGTGCGCCTGGGGTGGAACCCCACCCCTAACACTCTCCAGTGGTCAACAGCGAGCGCCTTTGGAGCGCCATAGCCAGGATGTCCTTGAGCCGGAAGGAGTGTGCTCATCCAGTCTTCTACGGCATTCAAGAAGAAGAACAAAAGCAAATTACTGTTAGAAGTACTGGCTTCAGCAGAATAAAAAAAACGCTGTGAAGACGGATAACAGAGTAATAAATTGCATCTTCTGTTTTCATCAAGGCAACAAACAACTTTGAAAAATTTTAATGACGAGAGCAGCTGGTGTTGTTAGCTCAAAGGGATGGTGGCCTGTTTATTTCTCAAATGAGTCAAAATAACTTCAGAATCCAGCACCACACAAAACATCACTACGGACAAAAGAGGCAAATGAGACAATAATATTGTGCAACGAGGATTATTTTGTTGTATCTCAATATTTTCTCGCTTGTGTACCTAGACTTGTTCACAGTCCATCAGATTCCGTTTCTTCACAGCAGCAGTTTCCCTCATCAGTTTCACCCAGCCGATAATTTATTCCATGTCGGTGTTCATTGCCGAATTGAAACAAATCCGTCGAAATGGTGCACTGCTCGATAGGGTCGTAGTTTTATATTGACCTATGTCTAATATTGCCAATGAATTTATTGATCAAAAATCGTTACAAATTAACGAAGCAGCGGTCACAGTAGTCTAGCGGGTAAGAGATGAGCTGGTGTAGATGAAGCATTGCTTAACACTCGTCTAGAACCCTTTTTATTTCCTATTTGCATTACGTTTAATTTGGGAAGCAGATGCATATAATATATGGTGCAGTGGTGAGAATGTTCATCAGATCTCTTAAAGAAAATGAAGATTGTCCCTCACTCAAACCAACAGCGTGCACGTTGTGAAGTGATAAAGCTGCCCTGCAATACGCACGCAGTCACTGGGTCGGTCTCGTTTCCCATGTTCTTTTCGTTAGTAGAGCATACCATTAAAATTTCTTGTGAGACAGGTATAGAATTGGAAGCTTCTCAAGCTATCAAATGACTACATGAACTTGAGTGAAAATCAAAAAATGCTCAATAACATAGGATCGACTGTTTTTTAAACCTCGTGATAAACATTTAAAATAATTCCAAGGAAAAAAGAATGTTTCAAGCCTAAACGCGGTTGGTACGCCAGGGCCATACACCGGTGTTTCGGAGGTTTCGGCCACCTCGTCAGTGACCCCCGCCCCACATTAAGCCCTGCATTGTAGAAAGGAGGTAGGCGTATGTGGTGATGGCATAGTGTACAATGACACTGGTCCATCACCACCGTTCAATCGAAGGATTTCTGCTGGTAGACCAAAACTAATCCATAATATCGACTGTTTTTAACGGTGTACGGCCCTGGCTTACCAACCTTGTTTAGGCTTAAAACATTTTTTTTTTGGAATTATCATGAATGTTTATCAGGAGGTTTTAAAAACAGTCGATCTTATGGATTTGTTTTGGTATACAGGCCGAAATCCATAGACTGAACAGTGGTGACGGACCAGTGTCATTGTACACTATGCCATCACCACATACGCCTACCTCCTTGCTACAATGCAGGGCTTAATGTGTGGCCGGGTTCACTGACGAGGAGGCCGAAACCTCCGAAACACCGGTGTATGGCACTGGCGTACCAGCCCCGTTTAGGCTTAAAACATTCCTTTTTTTTTGGAATTATTTTGAATGTTCAATAACACTCAGAAATGAGCGACTTTTTGCGAGGATGCGCTTGCCTCATAGAAAAAAAGAAATTTTTTGGCACATGGTTGATACTATTTTCAAATTACCTTTATAAAACTTTGGATCATTTTCGTCGTCCGCCCCAGTTCGACGCCCGAGAATGATGACACATTTTTGAGCTGTTCCCTAAGTTCTAGTAACCGCTCGATAGCCTGATTCTCGCAGAAGTCAGAAATTCACCTCATTTCCAAGACAGTGTCTTTGGTGAGCTCCAACAACAAGAGCAAAATCATCACATAATTGTTATTTGAGCCAATCTGTCATGTAGTCTTTCAAATGGGCTCTTGTACAGCCTGATACGCGTGTATCGATCTTGACACTCTTGTCAGTCGGGCAGAAACCTTCGTCTTTAGCCAATCCTCTCGATTTGCTCCACTTCCCACACTAAGAGTTGGCGACGACGAACGATTTACGCTGTGCTGCTGTTAAGTGAAATTCACCAAACCCGCAGTGTTGTACATTCAATTGCTACTTGACTGGTTCTTTGAAAAATATTATACCGTTCATTTCCTGTGTTTTCCTAAGACCACACTCAGATTCTAACAAGTCTCATACTTACCCAATGATATAGAGTGGTGTACAAGAGAGAGCGTTTGCGTCACCTGGGATTCAAACCCACATTTCACTTTATCCGCGAGCGCGTGTTGAACCGTTGCACTATCACGCCCGTTTTGACACTACTCTTTCTATGCCACAACGCGCTATCTGTCAACAGCCAACCGTCCACGGTCTGGCATGGCTGGTCGTTATTGACATAAATTTCGGCATAACTTACAAGAATCCTGGTTAATTACTTAGTCTCAGTATTTGCCAGCATCAGTGGGTTCAGTGTCGATGGCGATTACCCATGCCACATCGTGAACTGTTGGCTGTTGACAGATAACGAGTTGTACCGTAGAAAGAGTGGTGTCAGAACGAGCGTCGGTGGTGTAGCGGTTCAGCACGCCCTCCCTGATAGAGTAAAATGTGGGTTTGAATTCCACTCGACGCAAACGTTTTTACACACCACTCTACATCATTGGGTATAGTGTAACATCACACCACGGCAAAGGGCGGTGAAATAAAAAGAATCCTGATATCTCATATATGTTGTTTGGTAATATATCTTTCATATTTATTATTAATGTATTTCAAAATACCGGCTAAGAGCAATCGAGTGCACAACACTGCCGATCTTGTGATCTTCAGTTGAGGGCAGTGCAATGTAAGTCGTTTGTCTTCGCCTGCTCTTAGTGTGGGAAGTGAACCATCCGGAGAGGATTGGCTAAAAGACAAAGGGTTCTGGCTGACTGACGAGACTGTCAAGAGTGATACAAGTGTATCGAGCTGTACGAGAGCCTATTAACAGAAGGCTTGACAAGTTGGCGCAGGTAACAGCTATGCAATACGTTGAAATCTGAGCGTGGTCCTGAGGAAACACTTGAAATGAACGGTAAAATAAATTTGTTTCTCATGTATCTCATAATTACTATTTGAGCCAACATGTCATGTGGTCTGGTAATGCGCTCTTGTACAGCCCGATAGACTTGTTTCGAGTTTACAGTCTCGCTAGTCGTGCAGAACCCGTCGTCTTTCAGTCTTTTTAGCCAATCCTCTCGGGAGTCCGCACTCTGCCTATAAGGAGGTAACGAAGTCGAACGATTTACACTTTAAGTTAGCAAAATTATTGCCGAACTTACAGTGCTTGCCACTCGATCGCTCTTTGGCCTCTATTTTTATATTATTATACCTTTACGTTTCTTATTCAAACATGTTTATGTTTCTTATTCAAAGATTTCTCGCTGAACTAAGCTTGTTCCCTAGAATTTCAATTACAGTTCGATAGCTTCAACTTCGACAATCCCATTAACGATTTTGATTCAAAAAAAATTTTCATTTTGCATTTTTTCATTTTGCAACAACCGAAAGAAATCTAAGTACCAAATGTGCATCATTACCGATATCCGCACCTTCGCTTGAGCCCTTAAGAAAAACAAGCTCTTTGATTTTCTGCGTTTGAAAAAGTATATTAGCTAGAATCTCAAAAACTTCAGTCGTATTCTTTACTTTCAAAGGCACTTGCTGGTCTCAAACAAAAGGCACCTTTCAACTAACGAGGCTGCATGGGAAAGTACGTGTACTGTATTGCATTTGTGCTTATAACCGACCATATGTAATTTTAAGAACTAACTATCAGGCATTTATGTATAATTATCCACCCCTTTATAACAATAGTGCCTTGAACACATAAACTTTACTTAGAAGTGCTCATAAGTTCTTCCAAAGTACGAGCGACAAAATAATCTCCGTGGACGTGAAAAGAAATTTTCTGTTCAGTCTTACAACGTTCTTCAATGAATCGCTTTTAATGCCATTTATCATGAAATTTGCAGAGATTTGTGAAATCAAATACTACCAAAGGCACAGCGAAAGGCTAGCCACGAATCTCAGCCGAGCAGATAAGGCAAAGCGAGCGTCAAGCATTATTTTATTATAATGCTACGATGCAGCAAAAAGACATATTTGAAACCTAGCGTCTTACTTAAATTGCCGAAACTTGGGGCTTCGAACAAATACTGAAAGAAAGTGGAAAATAAGTGACTAGTGAGAAGGGCCCTCGACCAATCCTGTACTAGAACAGACACACGCCGTCGTGAGCGGGTTGATTTTTGTTGATAATGTAGATGCTATGACACATGGCAATGAATCCACGATTTGCAAAGGTCATCGACTTGCTCAAAGACATATAGTCAATCTTTCCTAGCTGTGGTAGAAATTCAATGGAAAACTAGTCAATAATCTGGTATATTAGGAAGCCCAACGCTGAGATTCTATATGAGGATCAGAGATGTATTGTTTTACAGTGCAAAATAGATGTTTACTTAAGCTAGAGTATGAATTTGGGATGAGGTGTAATACATATTCTTATAATCATACACCCTCCGCTTCTACTTTTGAACTCTTACGGCTTGTCCAGGAAGCCTCAGAGAAACTTGCTTTGGCGTTTAGATTCTTGCTTAGGATTTTTACTATCAGCTCAAAGTCCTTACCGCTGTCCGACTTTTCGACTTTCCATCTGAGTGCTTTTTGATGTAAATTTAATAGAATTCCTCGTTTTACCTATGTATCGAACACCACATATTATACAGCAGATATGGTATAATTTATCTGAGCTCATGTAGGCACCGTTTCTATCTTTACGGCATATTGCGCATTTCCCTGTCTTACTGGATTATCATACAGATGGTACAAAACCAATCGGTCAATCCTTTTCGGAAGGATCTGATTTTCTCGTTGAAACATCAGAAATATTCGAGATATGGGCGCTTCAAGAAGTATTATTTTTGTGAGATTCTATCAATCAATGGCATTATTGTCTTTCGAGAACCTCAGTTTACTGATTAAGTGCCCTTATTTCCACTGCAGCACGCGCCAAAGAAAGTATCTGGCGCACCACGCGGGGAGGCGATCGGTGTCTATGTTTATATGTTGCGTGTTGTAGCAGAGCGGTCAAACCTTCTCCATATTAGCAGGTTTGGTTCTACCATAACATTAGTGGCTACGAAAAAAGTTTAGTTTCTTGCATATGTAAACGGCAGACGACAGAGACAAAAATCTCCCTCATGCAAAGCGTGCACGTAAAGCAGTAGTGTTAATGGGAGCTGCTGTTACACCTTCATCAGTTAATCTAAGACCATTACAATCTAAACTCTATGCTTTTCGTCAATAATAGCGTTTCCGCCAGTGTTTCTAGAGTTGATAAAGCTCTGCAGCGACCCACCACGTAGGCCACACCATGCATAATAAAAAATTGTGGAATGTCCTTCAGATTTGGCAAACAATACATGACATCACAACCACAAATACCCTTTCCCTAGAGAGTCAGTAGTATTACTAATAACATCCCTTTATAAGCAAAGTGACTATCAACTGATTGTCAACTCTATGATCGCTTGTGATTTTGCACTTTTGAATGAAATAATTTTGATTTAGGCTCCGTCCCAAGCATCATAGAATGTTCCTTTTGTTACCTATAAGTACATTTGTGCTACACATCACAGATTATCTCTTCTATTACTGGCAGGCAGTGTTCTGCATGCACTTATCTTGCTCATTAAATGGTATGCACTAGTTTCATTGTAACTTTATATAAAATAAGAATCGGGAAGTACATGTAAGGTTTGTTTGAAATATTCGATCGAAATCACTGATGCAACCTATTGCACCACTCTTGATCAATTGCGACCAAACGTAGGTTACGTAGGTACAGAAAGTGTTGCCGTCCAAGGAGGAGGTTGATAGTGGTTGATATCCTCGCCGGGAGCAGGGCTGATCCCCACTCCCAACACTGTCCGGCAGTCAATAACGAAGTCCTTACGCAATGCCCCAGTGTGGCTATCGTCGAGAAACGTGCTCAGTCAGAATTCTACGACATTTAAGAAGACGAAAAAGCGACTGCATGCTAGAAGTGCTGAGATTTGAAAAGGTGAAGCTGTGGGATAAAATGAATAAAAATAAAACAATGCCGTTCGAAGAGCCTTCAACTTTAGATATGATAATACCACTTGAAGACTAGGTATTGCGAACCACCAGGTTGAGCCAATAAGAAAGGGCAATAGAAATGGTAGCGACATGAAATAGTTGTAAGATAATAATCACAAGATTTTTAGTTACTTCAAGATATGGAGATATCTACAAGATATCGTCTTTCAACCTCGGCGTGACATCATGTGCCAAGACTTATAGTGTTATGAAGGAGATTGTTCTAACATCACATTTTGAGATCCTTTTGTAGTATACCAACTGCAAAATAAATGTTCTTCTCAGTGCCTTCAGCAGTTAGAGGGAAAGCTTTGTCGAGCATTTACAAAAATTCTCATTGCAATGCCGAAAGCCTTTTGGTAGTTGTTTGCACTGCCCGACATCGCGTGTTCCGAGGATCCCAACTTCATGTGTTCCACCAGTCTTTTTCGCATGTTTTCCATCTTTTCATGCTGCATATGCTGACTATCTCTTGCGTAGCCACAGAATAAGTTAAATGTATTCTATTCATAGTGAAGTGTGTGTAGAACACTACTTTCTAAAAACGAGGTAATTCATGAATTTTGGCGAACAGTCCTGAAATTAAGCCTTATTTATTGTAATAGTACAATACCACGATCCTTCAAAAGGTTGACAGTCAACAAGTAGTCACTTCGTTCATTAAAGAATGCTGTTAGCGACATTACTGCTTTTCTTAGAATGACTGGTGGGCTCATACATCTTCATGTTTTATCTGCTACATTTGAAGGATTCTCCATAATATTTTTAGTTCCTACGATGTGGCCTGTGTGGCAGTCGGTTTGAAGCACGTGTCACTTCTGTTTATATCATTGCTTACTAGATTTCAGGTTAATGCCAAATATGACCTTTTGCAAAGACTACATAAAATGATTAAGCTTTTTTTGAGCATTCAATTGCTTCCAGACGGCACAAGTCAAATAGCATTTCCCCTCAACATTAATGCATAACGGGCTAGAATTGCGTTGGGACAATTTTGATTTCTATCCGCACGCAATTCAAATGATTAAATTGGCATATTTTTTGCTCGCCTTATGCCATGCAGTCTCGTTTATTTAAGCAATAAACCTGAATTTCGTGTGCGAGTGTTGAACATTCAAAGCTCGGAATTGTACCTTGGTAAGAATAGCTAAGAAAGCAGCGGCAAACTGTTCTCAGGTGGAACAAAATGTGACGAGTCACGCGACCAATTGTACCACGTAAGAATAATAAAATACGACTAGATTTGCCACGGACATGTCTCTTTGAGAAATCCCGCCCGGTTAGTCGCGAGGGCACGTGGCGCGTCCCTAGGTGGTAAATAGGGGAATAAACGCAGTCAAAAATGACCGTGTGCTCCCCTGAGACGCAGGTGGATTCAGGGAATGAGCTCTTGCATCTGCAGCGTCGACTTAACAAAACTCTGTTTCTACGAGTAAATCCGGCCAAAAGCCTGCAATCAAGTAGCTGTGA